GTATAAATGCTGACTTGCTCCTTAATTTGACGATATACAAAAAACGGCCTCATCTTTCCAAATTAACAACGCACCCCAGTTTAAATACAATCTCGTGAGCTCCTAACCCATCGTAACTGACCAGTGAGTTCAACACTAACTTAATCGTTGTGACATCATTATTGTAAATATGAATAAATCCTTGTTTCGGTCACAAATATATATCTCTGATCTTGACCGTAATCACAACCATCCCTAACCCTAGCTTTATTGTGCGCGAAACATGAGAATCTAACCATAAACTTTTTTTAATCTTTCTATCCTACCGTTACTCTAATATCTGTAACATCAGAACGACAATAGCATGGAAACTTGCACCCATTTTTGGAACCTTTTCACTATAGACCACAATATCAGCCAATAATTATTTTAAGAGCACACAGATTATTCAATGCTTATAATATTACACAACAACGATACACTGTATCACTATTAAAGACCACACATATACTTCAAACTATCACAAGACCACAACTGTACATTGAGTGCGAACTGTACAGTGAGTGCGGACTGTCCGGTATGTACTATTTAAAACGCGAGCAGGAGTGCTTTATCAGATATAAAACACGTGAGCGCAGCTCGAATGTTTTATCTGATAAAGCACGGACTTTTAAATGGCTAGTAAACATAAAAGCCCGGTTCACATATACCTACTTACACCTGCGGTATGTCGGCGGGCTATTGACAACAACTGCTCTGAAAAGCTGTGAACAATGATAGCGCAGGTATACCACAGGCATATATGTGAACCAGGCTAAAGAAAGAGTAAAGTGCTTAGCTGATATTTTACTTCGCTTGAATATACTTCTTCGCCAAATTGCCTTTCTTTTGATTTTACTGAAGTGAAGTCGATCGTTTAAGAACTGAATATCGAACAACATGGTCATGGAGCAAAACTTGCATCCAAGCACCAAGGATGTCAAATTAAAGCCACGTTACTTCGAAAACTACATGGTGTCCCAAAAAAAAGTGACACTATAGAAATTATCTCATTGTTCTTAAGCCGCTCTTAAACGCGCGTGATCACACGCCTGGGAATTTAATGAACTTGTATTCACATTTAAGCATTTTAAAACGTTTTCGCTTTGTCCAAATATTTTAAAGCCAGAGTCAATTAGCAAAACCGATTACACTAATAAACGGTTTGCTACTTTATTTTAAATTCCAGAAGCAGAAGTTTATGCACCTGTGGGATCAACTTAGTGCTAGGGCATTCAAATTATAACAATAGGATAATTTCTATAGTGTCACTTTTTTTTGGGACACCCTGTACAGGGTGTATTAAAAAACCTGCAAACACTATAATTTGCATAATTCTGCTGCTTACCAGCATTTCAATGTTTGTGCTACTTATTTTGCTCCTGGGATTTGAAAATACATTCCAACTAACCGCGTTGATAGAAATTAGAATAACAAAAAGTTATTTTGTAACGCAAAAAACTAATTATCAGTTTGACTGCGAATGGTCAACTATTGTGTTTACGCATGCTTGGGATCAATTAGTTCGGAATCATGCAAATTCTAAAAACATTGTACAGAGTGTCCCCCAAAAAAGTACCATCTATAGAAATTATCCTATTGTTGTTAAGCCCAGGATTTTTCATGCTCCTGGTAATTAAAAATTCAATTGTGTTTACGCGCTCTTGTGTTCAGTACAGTGCTCAGGCACTCAAATTATAACAATAGGATAATTTCTAATTGTTTTTGTTTGTGGAAACACCACGTAAATTTATTACTGCATAATTTCTATAGGATAATTTCTATAAAGGGTATTTTTTTGTGGGACACCCTGTACTTCAAAGGTTTCCAGGTTTTTTGATGCACTCTGTAGAGTTGAGGACATTGTTTTTAATGTTTCGACACATGCAATAACAAAAGCATGATCAATTATAAAAAATATTCAATGCACATACTTCAATCCCATGCACGATACTACTGACTTGCCCCTGGCTGCGTTGCATGTTTAAACAATGCGCATGCATAAATTAAACTATGTTGTGTATGCAGTGAGTATAGTGTAGTGTGCTTTTTGGCAGCCAAAGTACATTTAATTAACCCATGAAAATTCTGGTCGACTAACAGCAATGCATTCTGGTTGGAGTTGCTCGCTCGCTTCAGGCTCGCTCGCTGCGTCAGCAACTAGCATAAGACAAATGTTCAGAAAATTTAACTTTCATGTTTCACAATTCTTGTAGCTTTCAATTTCCGGAATCGTCCACTTACATATTGTTATCATCCAATTCAATCAATTCAATCATTGATGTAATATGACGTGTGCGCACAAACCAACAGGAAGGGAGTGTATTCCATACAAATATGAGACCTGATGGTCTAATATTTCTATGGTGTATTCCCGCTCAGCGTGACCGCAGTGTCAGCCCACGCACGGTAGAATAGAATAGAATATATTTGCTCACAAAAATATTTACAATGGAAATATAGTTAAAATACAAAAATATAAAGGAGCTAGGGATCTTTTGAAATCCTGTTGGACTTTTGATATACAATGGTATATACAATGCTCTTTCACGATCGCGAGTTTCCCAGTTATTACATTATGTTTGATATTAATTGTTGATCAGTAAAACCCAATGGTACTAATATTACATTTTATACGCACGCTAGCCAGTAGGTTAACTTACTTGTACCGATGCCAAAATTGATATTGTGATTCTCGATGAACGTCTGTCATGGAAAGATCATCTACATTACGTTCTAAGATAGTTTTTCGCATCTCTGAGAATGGTTCTGAAATTACGATCTAACTAAAGCAATTATAAACAGATGTCAAGACTTAAACGACTACGGAGGATAGTACGCGAAGCTATGTTGCCAATAAAATGAACAACTCATTTGTACTCCCCATTTTCGACTGTTGTGACATAGCTTGGACATGTTGTTTCAAACTTTTTTGAGAGAGCATTCATCCAAACCCTTTTAAAGGTATTCTATAATTTATCGAATACCTTTAAAATATACACACGAATTCGCGATCATCTCAAACACCAGATATCGGATCGATTTTATAATTTTAATTAAGTAGAGTAAAAGCAAATTTAAGGATCAGCAAATTTTACACTATTACAAAAACCAAATAAAGTGTTATCTTGTGTACTATCTGCTATACCTAAATTGATAAGCCACAATCTCGAACGTTCGGTACCAGTATAGTCTGTATATAGGTAGCGCCGATTACAGACAGCTGCGGTGTGATAGGCATACTACAACTACCTAAAAATATAAATTGCGGTGCCCGTGCCAAGTTTGGCACGAGTTTGTCCGTTTGTTTGTTAATTTGTTTGGATCAATACGTTTCCTTAATATCCTAGTAAAAATTCCTTGCACGTGCTCTGAATTTATTCATTTTTGCGGGAAAATTAATTAATCTTAGACTCTCAGGACCAACTGTTTGCTGGGCTTTATCCAGGGGCGTCGGAAAGTCGATAATTGGGGGGGGGGCAGATATTCATATATTCATGTTCACAAACTGTAAAAACAATCGCTTTCAAAGGAAATAAATTATGCAGAACATGAATATATGAATATCTGCCCCCCCCCCAATCATCAACTTTCCGGCGCCCCTGGCTTTATCTCTAGTTTTATGCGTCAAACAAGGACAAAAATACCACTGTGCGAATCAGCGTAAATAATTATATTTATGGATGGAAATTTGATTTCAAAATTGATTAGTATTCCAGCGATTCATGGCTTTTGAAAGACAAGCCGCACAAAATAATCCTTTATGTTTTCTGAATTCCTTTTTTCGAGGAAAATTTTCTTTCCAATTAATCTCGGACTCTCACAATTGGCTTTTTTCTGCGCCTTATCTCTGGTTTTATGCGCCCAATAAGGACACAAATACCACCGTTCGATTCGGTGTAAGAAATTGTACTTAGAGATGTCAAATGTATTACTAAACAACAGTATTCTAGTGTTTTATTAGATCAAGCGAAATTGTATTGTTGGCAAATCGCTCAAAATTATTAAACCTAATTAAAAATGCAGTACGTTCTTGGGTTTCATGAGGTGCGAACTTTTCAACATAGTCTTTGATTTGGAGCGAAGGGCCTTCGCTCGAAACGTCGAAGTCACACAAAGTTCTGTTTATATTTTTCAGGTAGATGTATCTCTCTCACACGCAACTGTTTATGATAAGCCACGCCTATATTTGTCGAGGGCCACGTCCATTTAGTCGGTAAAATTGGGATCAAAGCTGCGGCACTGTCTGAATAAAATAAACATCTACGGAGGAGGTATAGCATATTTAATTTGGCTTTTAGTTTTATGTTGGAATTACTTTCACTTATAAGTAGAAGATAAGTAAATATAAGTATAAACAAGGATTCAATGACATTATTTGCCCCTCATTCGAAGAAGTGACCATGGATTACCATTGTATTATTGATCCCGAAATAAATGAGCATGAATTTGAAGAATTAGTGCATATACATCCCTGGGACTCCCAGCAGGCTAATATACTAGTCAATGAGACAATATTTCGAGCAACATGAGGCAATGTTTAACTGTAATACCGGCGACGACGCAACGTTGCGAGAAAATTTGTTGCAAGTACAGTGGTTCAGCTATGCTTTTTTGAGAAAAAAGGTAAGGCTTTTACAAGTTTTGCAAAAGTAGTCAATGACATCGAAATGGGTAAGAAATTTTGTTTTATCTATAAGACAAATGTGCGAAAAATTTTCGGAATCGTCCCGTTGTTGTTGGTTATCATTCAATTCAATCATTGACGTAATATGACATGTGCGCACACACCAACAGGAAGGGAGTGTATACTCAGTTCTAACTTTGAACATTGCAATATCACCACGATTCTACCCAAGCTTGCGACCCATACACACGCAAACATGGAAAGGTGTTTGAAATTGCTTCCAAAGAAGAGTTACAATAAATATTGTTACATACTTCTTGTTATATTTGTGTCGGTTGGCATTATTGCCATTGGGATGGCGACTACTTTCGATTTGAAAGCGACGCTACAATGTATCCCAGACAAGACCCTTGCGAGCGAGTCAACAAGAAAATCCGTTGAAACACAGTGTCTTCTGAAATACGCCCAAGAGTTTCATCCTTCAATACCTCTTTATGTTCTGGTAATAATGAATTTTGGATTTGTAACCTTACTCAGTATTATCTACGCTTATTCTGTGAATGATCGTGTGGAAATCTTTGCAGATTCTCCGAGTGCAACGACGAATAATGGCGAAGACGAAAGTCAGCCACTCTCGGGTATTTCACCAGCAGCGTCGGACCCTATGTCCCACCAAAATTCTGGTCGTTATTCTGTTATCACGTTATACATTATGCATTTGATTTTTTGCCGTATAATACCACTAGCAGTATTTGCAACATTGCTCTTAATTTCATCGAGTTTTCCGGTACAATATCATTGTCCTTGGCCAGTGAAAACCACAAGCTCGTCCCACGGAAACTTTTCACAAAGACAAAATTTGAATTTTTCAACTGTGGATTGCACTTATCCTATGGGCAGCAAAAAAGAAACAGTAGCTGCCACCGTTGTGACAATAAATTTCCTTATCGGTATAGTGGCGTCCATGGAGCTTGTCTATCTGTTGTGGTCAACATGGAAAGATGATAATCTGCTTTCTGATCTGGAATTTTGTAGTGTTTACCTTTTGAGAAAGCGTAAAAGAATCCGAAAGTTGATGAAAAAGATTAGAGAGAACATATCTGATGAAACATTTTACTTGCATGATGATTTTGGTGAGAAACGTTTGTCACGTCGGAAACTGGAAGAGATATATGTCAATGTCATAATTCAGGAGGGAAGGGAAATGAATTGCAGAAGACTGCTTAAAGATAGACATGAGACATACCAAGCACATTTTAAAGTACCACACGGTGCAACTACCTTCAAGAGAATAGCAGATTTATTTAAACCCACACGCGCTTCCAAAACCTGTCCTAGAACTATTCTTGTAGTGGGCAGACCAGGAATTGGCAAAACTCTCCTGACGAAAAAAATATTTTATCAGTGGCAACAACAAACGTTTGAATTCTGGTTTGAAAAGATAGTAATCTTAATACGATTTCGCAATTTTAACAAGGGGAAAACAAGTTTTCGAGAAATGTTACGTTGTTCCGATGGACTCAATATGTCATCGGCTGATTTTAACGGAATCTATGAACACATTTGTTTGATGCCAAGTAATGTCATCCTTATTTTTGATGGGTTGGACGAACTTAAAGTTGATGACGAGTCTTCTCGTGAAGCAAATACTATAAATAGTCACAATGACGTTACGCATATACTCCTAATCTTCAAACAGCTAGTGGAAGGCAAACTGTTGCCTGGAGTCACAGTGTTAACCACAACTCGACCCACGGCAGAGCATATTTATCAAAAACTAAAATTTGATCGAGAGATCGAGATCTTGGGTTTTCATGAGGACCAAATCAAAGACTATGTTGAAAAGTTTTGCTGCAATGACATCCAGAAAAGCTCAGAAATATGGAACTTGATCAAGCAGTCACCAGAGCTTTTAAGCTTATGCTACATACCTGTTAATTCCTATATAGTGTGTTTAACATTAATAGAAAGCATTGAAGTTAAAGGCCAGAGCAATGTCCCAACAACAATTACGGAGTTGTACAAAAGAGCTATAAATATTTTACTGTTCAGGCACCATTTAAGATACAAGGATAAAGCAATTCCAAAGAACTATATTATCGGAAAGCTTACTGAACCGCTCCAACACGACTTGAACAAACTTAAACGAATTGCAAGAAATGGAATGATGGAAGACCAGTTAACATTCGAGTTTGAAAATGATGATGAATTTGTCTCTGAGCTGACAGACTGTGGTTTATTCAATAAACAGGAAAGCAAACGACAGAACATTTTCTGTTTTCTTCATCTAACTATTCAAGAGTTTCTTGCAGCACTACACGTAGTTGATGATATGGAAAATGTTGAATCATTTTTATCTGAGCACATCGAGAATCCCAAATGGCATTTAGTGATCCAGTTCGTTGCTGGGTTAATTGGAGATAAAATGAGAGAATTAAAGGCACAAAGAAATAAACTGCAAAGGTACGCCTGTTTAGTAGATAATTTTAAAATATTCTAGCATATACTGTGCATGTATATCAAATTTTGAAGAACAAAATTAATACACCCTTCCGGAAAATGCTGAGCCCCGTTTTCGTGATTGAGATATTGCATAGGTTTAGACTTTTCTTGTTTGTATTGAAGCTTAGTTACGCAAAAATAATTCACTTTAAATTTTATTGTTAACATCAGGTCACCAAAGCTTACAGACAACGAAAAAACACAAGAGCTTGCAAAGAACGAAGAAATAATAGATTGCATATGCAAGAGGTACGTTATCTGTTATTGCCCGAGTATCGCTTTCTATATCTGTTAAATTCAGTATATTAACACGCTGATTAACTACAAATTAAGGAATATATGGCAGGGAATTTTAGGCAAAAAGTTTAAAGAACTGACATTTCTATTAACAAAAGAATGCCATTGAAAATATTCTACAATCCCGCCGCCGAGATTGCAAACATGCGGCTATTGAGATATGGACATGCATGTAATTCAACTTGATATTGCACTGGTTTTAATAATTTAGGCTACAGGACGTTCGTGTAAGATATTAAGCTGCTGCGATATTATTGTTATGGCTTTGTAAAAAGTGAAATTATAATGAATAGTCCTGGGTTCAAGATCAAAGAGAAATATACTGCTGCGCAAAAATCATACTAATATAAATGTTCGCATTCCACAACAATTAAAACGGCTAGGAGCCTATAAAAATGTTTTGCGAGCGTTTACTGAGTTTTCAAAGCATGAAAAGATGAACTTTCCTGCATTTAGCAAATTGAACGTGAAATTTCGGTATAGACTAGTTTATAGACATTAGGTATAGACATTTCGGTATAGACATTAGTTTACACAAAGGGGCTCCCTTTAGCTGGGGGCCCCCAAATAAGTTCTAAGACCGGTTTTGGAAGCGCGTGTGGGTTTAAATAAATCTGTTATTCTCGTGAAGGTAGTTGCACCGAATGGTACTTTAAAATGCGCTTCGTATGTCTCATGTATGGTCTCATGCCATCTTTAAACCGTCTTCTGCAATTTATTTCCTTTTCCTCCTGAATTATGTCCCATTGACATATATCTCTTCCAGTTTCCGACGTGACAATTTCAAAATTTCAATACACCCTTCCGGAAAGTATTTAGTATTTGCCCACACAGATATTGGGTTTAATTTTGTCTTGTTACAGGTGACACATAAAGACGGCGAACTAGTCATGCGCCGAACCTAATCATATTAAATAGGCAGGGCCGCATTGAGAAATTTGAGGGTCCGGGGCAAATCTAATATTTGGGGCCCTAGCGATTTTTGATCGTCAAAGATTCTTGAAGTTGTGTACTCTTTTAGATATTGATTCCCATATTCTTGAACTTTTAAGACAATTAGCACGATTATTTCCTTTGGTTTTGAATGTTTATAATTTTTTCAACGCGCATTCTGCACTGAAATAGTATGTTATAGTATGTTAAACATATCATGCATGCATTAGGTTTGGCGCGTGAAAACTACGGCGCTTAAACCCATGTCGAACCTGTGTCGCATAGTACGACATGACTTGCCATATTTTGCATTTTGCGCCGTGTTAACCTAATCAAAACTTGCCGAACCTATAATTGATTTCCGATCTCTGCTCTTCTGTCGTACTTAGTCATCGAGTAAGGTTATAAAACGTTCACTGTCTAAACCGATTTTAAAAGACCTTTATAACCTTTCGGCATATTTGTATTAAATTAATATATTCTGTAATGAGATTTACATTTTTTGTCATACTTTGTTTTAACTAAATCCATCTGATTGGTTTATTTTTTGTCATGTGATGTTTTTATATTCTTAATATAAAAGCTCATGTATTTTTCCCGTCTGCCACTAGTAACTCCTGCAGAAGAAGGCCTTCACTTGAAACGTCGAAATTCTCCTTGTGCTGATTTTTCAGGCACCAAAGAAAACTTTTTAATAATTATTAAACATTTTGTGAACCAGGTCTAAGCTCATTGTTAAATTCCTTTTGTTATGCACCAATTTCGACAAAAATTTTTATTGGACCCGACTCCAACTTCCGGATCACGCATGGGCTGGCTATTAACTTTGGTTAATATATAACATCATGAAATGAGTGCGCGCGGTGCGTATTTCAACCTCGCAAGCCAGGTTCTCTTCTTCAGCATTCCCTCCCAAACACGCTCGAAGTAGAAAGCCTGGCTTGCGAGGTTGTGCGTATTTTGGCAAAATGATATTTAATGTGATATGTAACCTTATCACCTTTCAAACTGCAAATCGGCAGTCCGGCTCAATCGCGAAATGATATCGCGACTTTGTAATTAAATTTCAGTTTTCTTAAAATATCTTTGTCTAGATTTCAACACCAGATGCCAAAGGTAGGAAATTTAGACAGAAACACCTTACCTGTGATAAAATGTGTCCACGAAATGCAAGAAGAAAGTGTTATGAAGTTAGTTGCCTCCCATTGGGATGATGAAGCAGTTTGTTTAAACAGTTTAAGTATTGCGCCAGTGGAATCTGCTGCTTTGTTTGAATTTCTAAGTCACATAAAGAACCTGCACAAGCTTACGATCACTAATTGTATCATGGACCGTTTTGCTCTTAGTGAATTGGCCGAGTTACTGATGAAAGAGAACGAAAACTGCCAACTAACTGAGTTACACATAAGCGAAAGTAAATTGACAGATGAAGGTGCTAAGCACTTAAGTGATGCTCTGATTAGTGACAAGTGCAAACTTATTGAATTGAATATAAGTCACAATCTTTTAACAGATGAAGGAGCTAAACATTTAAGTGATGCCCTGATGAGTGACAATTGCAAACTTACTCAATTAGATATAGGATCGAATAATTTAACAGATGCAGGTCCTAAATATTTAAGTGGTGCTCTGATGAGTGACAATTGCAAACTTACTAAACTAGATATGTTAAGCATTAATCTAACAGACAAAGGTGTTAAATATTTAAGTGATGCTTTGATGAGTGGCAATTGCAAACTTACTGAATTAGATATAGGAAGGAATAATTTAACAGATGAAGGTGGTAAACATTTAAGTGATGCCCTGATGAATGACAAGTGCAAACTTACTGTATTAAATATACAGTGCAATAATTTAACAGATGGAGGTGCTAAATATTTAAGTGACGCTCTGATAAGTGACAAGTGCAAACTTACTGTATTAGACATAGGAATCAATGAGTTAACAGATGAAGGTGCTAAATATTTACGTGATGCTCTGATGAGTGCCCACTGTAAACTTACGGAATTGAACATAAGTTACAATTTTTCAATAACAGATGAAGGTGCTAAATATTTACATGATGCCATGAACAGTGACAACTGCAAACTTACTAAATTAAATGTGTAAGGACTAAATACTGCTCTGAAGAGTGGCAACTGTGAACTTACTGAATTGAACATGAGGAACTCGAATATGTATTTCGGTTATATTAATTGATTGTTTATACCCAAGTAGGAAAATAGAAATTGAAAACATCGTTGTATTTAGCGTTGCATAGTAGAGGTTTGGGCAAATGGAATGTTGGATTATATGACATGGGAATATGGGATCATGGTTGTATTTAGAGTTGCAGTTAATCAGAAGTTTGAATAGTTGGTTTATATAGACGTAGGCCCGAAAATATGAACTCGAAACATTGTTGTATTTAGAGTTGCAAGTTAGGAGTTTGAGTCCGGGGCGTAGGAAACTCATTGTGGGGGCGACAAAGTACCAAAGAGATCAACCACGCAACTGGCGTGGTCTATAAGGTTTTGCCTTCCCGATGGTCATGATGGAAATTTTGAAATCTAGACCTCGGGTGAAATGGCATTTTCATGCAGCCATTATTTTTGCGTGCTATTTAGCAACGCAGCAGGCAGCAACACTAGTATAATACTATAGTACACGTACTAGTTAAAACATGAGCAGCCGATCTTTATTAGTATACAAACTCGAGGCGAAGGCGAGGGTTTGTTTTTCAGATAAAGATCTGATGCGAATGTTTTAACGTGCTCGACCCATCTTATGAGTTAATTGGCAAAGTAATTTTAAAAATAAACATTGTCTAAGCCGAGAAAATCAAAGCTGAAGTTTATGTAAATCAGGACAAATCTTTGTCCGATTTACAAACATTGATTAAACATTCATTTCTTTGTATTTTCCTCGCGAATTATTAATGAGCTTTTAAATTAATTTTGCAACATTCTTTACTCCGAGATGCAACAGAAAACGCAATTATATGTCAGTATTGAATATTATAATAGTATAATTTTATAATAAAATGACTATAGTTGACTGTTTCAAATACTTTAAAAATACTAACGGTGAATTCAAATATGTTTTGGCTGGCCAAAAACCTATTCCACCCCCACCTTGTTTAACAAGGGGTGGGGCTAGTCCCCAACCTTCCGCTTCCTACGCCCCTGGTTTGAGTAATTGTATTAAAGGGAAACATGAACTGAAAACATGGTTGTATTTAGAGTTGTAAATTAGAAGTTTGAGTTAATGGATCATGTGGTAAAAAATATTTTTTCCAAGAAACTACGAAGAAAAAATAAATAGTTCAATATTTTCAGTTAACTTAATGTAAATATGATATTGCATAAATACTTCCATAGTTTTTCTATTCCTAATGCAGAGCCTCAAATATAGATCTTAAACCGTTCACTTGACAAATTCTAAAATCTAAACCACTAAAGTTCAGTACTAGCTGGCTGTCTCACAAGTAGTCAGTCTAGATCGCTATTACAAGTGAATTTGTGAATTCAGTCGATACAATTATTCCTTCTTGAGTTACGGAGTCAGTCAGTAAAGATATTATTGCCGATGTCAGCATTATAGTTTCAAAGGGTGTTAAAACTATGTTGTACATATTTGTCAAACAATTTAGTTTTAAAATGCCAACTGGCAATTGGTTAGGATTATTAAGAAGTGATCGTAGATCGAAATATTTGGGTTAAAATTCATCTATATTTTCAGTAATTATTTTCAGCCTTCTAGTCCAGAATTGCGTCCAAATATCTGACCAAATTTGAAAGTTTCCAATACTAATTTACATTTGGTTGGGCTTTTCCGGACAATTTCGACCGTTATTTCAGGCTCTGTGTTCAACACAATCATTCACAAAACTGATGCATATATATTTTCATTGATAGTTATTGAGCTTTTTCAGTAGTTCATAATATACAGGCGGAAATGCTCAATATATATTGGTTATGAACTTTGAATTATGTTATATCTTACTTGTATTTAATTTGCGCAGACCGTATTTGCTCGAAATTGAAACTAACCAAAAAATTATCCGCGCAAAACGGTTTACTACTGTTTGCACCCAGAAAATTAATCTGCGTGTAAATGTTTACCAGCCGTAACACAAAATACTGAAAATTAGACAAAAAAATTATGTGTACCATTAGATTCCTTTTTACAACTACATCAGGAAACTGTAATTTACGAGTGTAATTTTGTTGTTTTGAACCGTTTCAAGTTGCGCAAAATCAAAAGTTGCGATAAAAGGTCGCATAGTCTCGGGTGCGCAAAATTATATCGGATGAGTTGAGACTGAGCGAAAATTTGTGTCATGCGGATTTAAATACAAGTTATTAGAGAATTAGGTATAATTACACTATATCATGTAAATGTTTTACTTACGAGTACGGGGCCGGTTGTTCGAAAGCGCTAACCCTGGGTTAATTAATATTTAACTCCTCATTTTGGTTTGGGTACACCCGGAAATCCGCTTTTTCAGAAAACGTTTGATCCAAATATTACCTCTGATATACTTCATAAACAAGCTGTTAATAGGACTGCTCACCTAAAATTGAAGTATTTCGTTAACCTAGGATAAAGTTAACTGACTTTCGACCGACCGACCCCTAATTTATATAAAGCGTAATGGTTTCTATATAGTAAGCTCATATATATATATATATATATATATATATATATATATATATATATATATATATATATATATATATATATATATATATATATATATATATATACCATTTTATGATGTAAATATAATGTTTTATTACCATTGATGTTATTGCGACCGAATTGAAATCAATTGAAATTATATTATGCTTGTGTGTTGTTACTCTGAGTGTATATCCACACCGGGCAAGCTTGAAAAATATGCCTGGCCACGGTGGGATTCGAACCTACGACCTTTGGAATACTAGCCCAACGCTCTGCCAACTGAGCTACGCGGTCAGGTCGTTCGAGTATGCGATATTTCGGAACTGAGTCTAGTTCCTTCGATATCAGTGTAATCTAATAATCATGACAATTGCTGTGTTGGTGTAATGTACTCAGGTGAATAAGATGCTTGTGTGATGTTACTCTGAGTGTATATCCACACCGGATCCGGACAAGCTTGAAAAATATGCCTGGCCACGGTGAGGTTCGAATCCCACCGTGGCCAGACATATTTTTCAAGCCTGTCCGGTGTGAATATACACTCAGAGTAACATCACATATATATTCGTGTTAAAATGTATCATTGTGAAATTCAAAGTGCATGTGAAGTGCAAAAAAAACCGTGTCAAAATTTCTTTCGACAAATTGCTGCATGTAACCCTATTTCAAGACTGGTTTTACTAACGAACAAAGTCTATTTGAACAAAGTCCAGTCAGACCAAACTGCATGTGCATGTGAAGTCAAAGACTACAGATGTGTGAATCTCCATGCTGCATGGTATATATCATCAATGTTTCTTTCAACAAAGCACTGTTTGATCAAGGCGTATGAAGTGAACCCTATATTTTAAGGCTGGTTTATATATTATCAATGTTTCTGCATGGTTTAGGCCCCATTGAAGTTACATCAGTCAATGTAAACTTTGGTCAAAGACAAAGTGTATGTCAACATATAAGAACTTGACTGAAGTTCTTACGTCAAAATTTGATTACAAAACGTGTCGTTATTTTTCACCAGAGAAACTTCGAGAATGGACTGAATATTTATCAGGTTCAATGCCAGCCTAGGGCGTTCTATTTAAATTCCAGAGCTTTTTACGTGAGAAAACTGGAACCTAGCTAGGCAATTTGAGGACACAGGAGTGAAGGAAGAGCGAAGGCGAGTAATAGAAGCTGCCCACGGCATGCTTTACACGAGAATAGATGTTTTACATGGCATCCCGCCTCCTGACGTCATTGAAGTCAATTAACCTGCAATTCAAGAGTCGCCTGCTGAGTAAAGGCCAATCTCGTACCCATGAGTCATCACAGTGAAGGCTGTAGGTCTAGGCTGGTTCCATGCTTTATTTTTTTAATAAGCATTACAAGCTACAGTAAGTGATGCATTCAAAACTCCTGAAGTCATGGTCCTAGCATCGTTTGCGAAGAAACAACCAGGAGAGCTCAGGAACAGATTGGCTGAGCTGTCAGTATGGTACAGATATAGCACTGTTGCATGGTGCCACAATGGTTAGTGCGTGTGAATTTCATCTCTGGGTTCGATTCCAGGAATGGACAATGCTGGACGTTAAGAGAGAAAATTTTTGACAGAACTGTAAGAGCTGTACATGTATATAAATATAACTCATTCAGTCATTCGATAGATCTCTCCAATAACATTTCATGCTCTTTTACATGCATCCTAGCTAGCTCCAGAGAGATGTTAAAACTGGCCACATGTACATCAGTGAAAATATCTTCACATAACACGCAGTCGAAATGCTTACAGCTTTAAATAACTTGGACGAAACCGTAAGTAGTATATAGATCATAAAAACATTGAACCCGCGCTCTCTTGACTTAAATCTCGAATTCACATAACGCATTGGAAAAAATCTTTCATACTAACTTCCTTTTGGGTTTTCATGGTGATAAATTGAACCATTTTTATAATATAACAAAACTTTCGTTCAGTAAGACCGGTCTACATTGGTATTAATTTCCAAATATAAAATCTTTCATGAGAGATTATATACAATCACGATAAAGATTGAGGCTAACGCATCAAAAAAGATTATATAATTATACGGTACCCGGACATTTTGCCGAAAGACACTTTGCCGAAAGACATTTTGCCGAAAGACATTTTGCCGAACGGACACAGGACACTTTGCCGACGGACGTTTTGCCGAACGGACGTTTTGCCGAACGGACATTTTGCCGAACGGACGTTTTGCCGATCGGACAGTTTGCCGAAAAGACAACTTGCCGAAAATAGAGGTGTTATTTCGTCAAAATGTTTGGGACTGTGACTCGTTTCTCAACAGTGTAATTATCAACCATTGAGTAAAATAACCATTATAT